ATGGTGCGTTCTGGCCACTCGAAAATTTGACGATCCTGCAACTTGACTTTAACATGTTAACCGTTGTGAGAAAAGGAGGCCTTTTCGGATTAGAGCATTTACAAAAGTTAACGTTGTCGCACAATCGAATAAGCACCATTGAAATACAAGCATGGGATAGATGCAAAGAAATTGTGGAGTTGTTAGTAATATTTTTATCCCGTAATAAATATAATATACAATAAGACATTCTGGAATTTGTAATGTTAATTAACACATAGTGTATTCGATTATAATCGAGAATTTGATTGCAGGGATCTGTCGCATAACGAAATGAAGAGCATTGAACGAGATACTTTTGAATTTTTGGAAAAATTAGAAAAGCTCAAACTGGATCACAATCAAATTACCTATATTTCGGATGGTGCATTTGCTTCAACTCCTAATTTGCAGATATTGTACGTATAGTATAGTATAATATAATACACTGTAATGATATGAGACCTTGTGAAACTTTCAATAACTATCTTTTTATTAAAGGGAACTAAACTTCAACAAAATTTCATACATGGTGGAAGATATCAACGGTGCCTTTGATCCACTTGGACAACTATGGAAACTAGGATTGGCGCACAATAGAATAAAGTCGGTAAACAAAAATGCATTTACCGGACTAAGTAGCGTAACTGAACTGGATTTAAGCGGAAACAATGTAACGAGCATTCAAGAAAATGCATTCGTTTCAATGACTAGCCTAACGAAACTGAGAATGAATACAAGTAAGTACGAATGTGAAACGTGTTCTTTTGTGATACGATTTAAATCGAAATGAGGTACTCAAAGTATTCGCACACAATTATCATGTTTTCTTTACATGCACAGGAGCTTTAGTTTGTGACTGTGGCCTGCAATGGTTAAGTATGTGGTTACGTGAGCACAGTTACAGTGATGCGGAAGTTTATTGCGGGTTTCCACATTGGCTACAAGGAATGTCGTTGACTCAGCTTCATCATAAGAATTTTACATGTGGTTAGTATATTATTTAAGTTAGAATTCCATTAGTACCATAAACTAGTAACTATTAACGAGATTTTGTGTGATATTTAGATGAATATCCAAAGCCAAGGATTATTGAAGAACCTAAAAGTCAAATGGGCATTAAAGGAGATAACGTGACGCTAGTTTGCCGAGCAACGAGTACTGCCAATGCACCACTACATTTTACCTGGAAGCATGATAACGTTGAAATGGATGATGTTAATCTACAAATAAACACCGATTCTATGGAAAACGGTGTAACAGAAGCATCTTCCATTTTACATTTTACTAATGTTACACACGCGAATGCTGGGAAATATCAATGTATGGTAACCAACACATACGGAACGACATATTCCACAAAAGCAAAAATAAGCATTTTAAGTAAGTTTTCATTTTAAATAAGTTAAGTAAGTTCCTAATATGAAACTGTCAAATGTAAGTATAAAATGTTTTATCCTTGTTGTAGTTTATCCATCATTTTCGAAAATTCCGCACGATATACGTGTAATCGCTGGAAGCACTGCTCGACTCGAGTGTTCCGCGGATGGGCATCCATCGCCGCAAATAGCGTGGCAAAAAGATGGTGGTAACGACTTTCCAGCGGCAAGAGAGAGAAGAATGCACATGATGCCTACTGACGATGTACTATTCATCGTCGACGTGAAAACAGCGGATAGTGGCATTTACTCGTGCACTGCGCAAAATCTTGCTGGTTTAATCGTCGCGAATGCTACTCTTACGATACTGGGTAAGTGTCACGTGCTTTTACACAATACAGTTACAATTACTTAATGTAGGCAAAATTCAATCGGATTTATGATATCTAACTTTTTCTTCCAAAAGAAACGCCATCATTCGTAAAACCAATGGAAAACAAAGAAGTGACAATGGGTGGTTCGATCGTACTGGAGTGCATGGCAAGCGGTATGCCCAGACCAAAGTTATCATGGCGTAAGAATGGAAATCCTCTGCAGGCGACCGAGCGACATTTCTTTACAGCTGAAGACCAACTACTGATAATCGTCGACACTAAAATTAGCGACGCTGGCAGTTATGAATGTGAAATGAGCAATTCATTGGGTAGTGTCGTTGGTGCATCTCACCTTACAGTGAAACCAGGTAAGAGATCTTCAGTGAATTAGATCTTTCTTTCAAATTTGGAATAAAATCTAATAAAAAAATATTGTACGTGTTGCAGCTCCGATATCAACTCCTAATCCTATGTCGGTAAACGAGGATGATATACTAGGTTTGATAATAATCACCGTTGTATGTTGCGCTGTTGGTACATCGATAGTATGGGTGGTTATAATCTATCAAACTAGAAGACGGTTGAATGCTCTTACTCAGACTAGAAATTCACAACCGTCGTCAGCTATAGCAGCTACGGTAGCGGACACGCAAACACATATATATTTGGAAACGAGTTCGCAGCATAGTAAAGACAGCGGTACAGGAGACAGTACCAACCCTAGTAGCGACCAGTTACAATTATGTTTACCAGGTACGTACAAATATTTTTGTCATTTGTTCCGTTTCATCTTTCATTTTATTCTCGTCTTCTGTTCCTTTTTATCTTGAAATTTGGCTATTTCTATTTGTAGAAGAGATCGTTACATGTTCAGTGAACAATGAGGAAGAAACAAGTGCAGTGGTGAATGTAGGAGCACCGTTGTTACGATACACGAATCATGAACGACAGGTCTTGGAGAACAAAGACTGCGCCGTTTAAAAAACAGAAATTTCAAATATGTCTTCATCATGATCGGTTCGTCGCAGTCCGTGCATAAACGTTCTTCTTTACCATGTGCAAAAGAACGATTGAAAAATCGCAAGCGATCGAACGTTGTTTCAGCCGTTTGATAACAAACTATTTGCTACAGCAAATGTGCAATTTGTCAATCCTCGTGTGTCATGAACATTAATGTCGTGGTGTACGATAGGGGTACAAGCGACAAGGATCCCGATCATTGTCGTATTTATTATAAAAACGTTTGTCAGAAGAGCGATACGTAAACTAGAAAGTACTAATGACGTAAGATTTGTAAATATTTAAGAGTAAGGACTCATCGTAATTAGTGTGTAACTGAGTGCCGTCGAGGAAAGGGTAAAATAATAAGAGTATGTTGACACTGGGAATTACCATAACCCGCAAAAGCCACTTATATCGTAAACCAGTCTTTTGTGATAGATATTTATTTTTAGGATTACTTAATTACTATTAGATAATGTTTGTATTTATAGTGCCCCATGACGTCAGTTTGTCTTAAACGAAAAAGAAGAAAAAGAAAAAAAAAACAGATGAAATGAGAAAGAGAAACGTACATACGTACACAAGTTCACGCACACGTATTTTACATATACAACAAACGCGTTAATTGTGTATACATATATACGTACGAGCGAACGGGTATGCGTGTACAATTGTTACGCACCAAAGTGCTGATATGTAGACACTTCATGATTTGTCTTCCTCTTTATTTTTTATTCATAGCTAATGGTTACGTCGCACCTAGATAAACACTTTGATACAATTTAATCCGATAACGATTGCTCATCACCGATAGATATCAATATCAGTTTTCTAGTATCTGCCTGTGTATTATCATCGCTTAAAGTCAACGATTTTCCTTTAGTATTTAATTTACTAAAATTTATAGCGTCTATACATGCAAAGAATACTATATTTATTATAGTAATTTCATGAAAGTTCGCAAACGCTGTCACGATTGCGTTTTATCGTCGTTTTGATCGAGGAGAAATTAATAGGAGAAAACACTTTCTTCCTTCGTTTTTCTTCTATCAATAATTTGTTTCTTGTGTATTCGTGCGTTTTAATAGAAAATCGAAACGTAAGATAAGTAGATTTGTAATTAGTTGAGCGATCAAGCGATAAGACGACGGTAGCTGTGTGGAAAAACTTCAGTGGATATTATCGTTTTCGTGAATTTGAAGTTCATTTGTGATATTACCGTGCTGCGCACATGCAATTTAAAATGACCGTGAACATACATGGTATAAGATATGAAACAGGAAAACGTAAATCTTTGGTAAAAGCCGACGCTTGCAAAAATTATTATTGTGATACTTTATCGTTTCGCTATCATGTCACGGTTAAAAATACATCCTTCATAATCATCTATATTTTTTTAAATCATATAATTCGAGAAAGCGAAAGAGAAAAAGAAGATTAAGCGAATATTGTCATTCTTGGTTGACGCTATACGACGCATTATATCGCGTAGTAACGTATCACGAGCGATAAATGGTTGTTCGGTCTACGATCAACTTCGTTCATTAGTTCTTTCCCTTTTCGTCATCAATGACTTGTACCATGCGTCGTTTTTCATTCTACGGAAGATTTTTATCAAATATACAGTTATTTTGTTCTGCGAAAGGGAAGAGGATAAAAATTCAATGTATCGTCGCCGGTGGATTCAGGAATGAGTCGCGAACGATTGCGAATTAAGATTGCGTCCAGCAGGCCAGCAGATCCAGTGGGATCGTGCAAACTTACCACTGACAAGTATTAAACCGTATTTTGCCAATAAACAAGAGAATCTGTCGCGAAAACGTTGATTGACTCGTGCCTGTGTGTGATACACCGAATAAGGTGTCCTCGTTTAATTCAGTATTTTTCCTTGTTGTTACGTGGTATATTATAAACAAATACAAGTAATCTATCAGAATAATGTTATATGGTCAGTCAGCAAACAAACACCCTCATCTTTCCTCTCTATTAACATTTCGTTTCGTTTCTTTTCTCTTGAGCTTTATTTACCAAACGAGCATACTTTGTTAAAATATACAATTGCTGATACATGTACATGTACATTCATAGGAGAAAGAAAGAAAAAAGCAGACGGATTCGGCAATCTTCTTAGAAACATTAAAACGATACGCCAGCGTATCATAACCATTTGCTTTTTTTTCCTTTCTTTCTTTTCTTTCTTTTCTTTCTTCCTTTCCTTCTTTCTTTCTATATTCTTTTTTCCTTTTTCTTTCCTGCTATCAATGAACGTATCTGTGCGGGTGTACATATTTTGCGCGGTTGCAGCCATTTCTCGACTTCAAATATTCCTGTTTACACTACATCGGTGATCATGAAAACACGCATCACACACATATACAAGTGTTCCCACGAGATATTAGTTCTCTAAGGGTTAAAAAATACTAGATTCGCATTCAGATGAATTCAGAATTGATTTTTTATCATCAATCTGTTGGCGCTGATGTCAGTCATGAACGATCGATAGGAACGAAACCCCTTCGATGATTTTGTTACGCATTCGCGATTAGAATCGTTCGAAGAAAATAAAAGGACGCGATGTCCGATTCGTTTAAGAATTAAGATCTTAAGAGAAAACATGATAAGTACTTTTTTCTTGATTTTTCGACGTTAATATCGTATTAAAACCGAAAAGGAATATTTTAATATAAAATAATTAGAACTGGAAAGAATCTGACAGATATGGATAGCCGGAAGTATGATTGTTAAGATAAAGAAATTTTTAATATGTTCAATACTTTAATAACTTCAAGCAGTGCTTTTCAAACTATGAATAAAATGGAAAAATATATGTTTGGAATAAATATTAAATAAAAGAACAATTTTGATAACGCAAGATTAATTAATAGCGTAGTGAATTTTAAAACTACAGCATGATAGAAAAGAGATGGGAAATATGCTTATCGTGTTTTTCCTCTATACATGGTTTTCAAATGCGAACGAAAGAAACAAGAAGTTTGAGGCGGGGAAAAGAGAATTAAGATGTAAGAAACGTAATACATATATAACGGCACGTGGGTAGTTACTTATTTCCAAGTATCACAATGATCAAAGTATCGTACATATACACAGTGTGTGTTAAAATTGTCGTTCGATTCGTTGACGCAAGAAGTGATCGTTGTTGATACCCAGGTTGCGAATATTTATGTATTTATGGAAAATAAAAGAGAAAAATATATAAAATATTCAGAGTAAAACACAATTTATAGCATTTAATAATTGAAAGAAATCTATATTTATGTTTCAGTTTGATAAATATTTGTGTAAACATTCGCAATCTGTTGGTAACGTTCATTTCATGCGATGGTAAAGTAGAATCGTGCTTTTCTGCGACGCGATTAAACAATAAAAGAAAACGCGTGGGTTATGACGCTTTAAAGGACGAACAATATATAAATAAATAAGAAGAAAATAGTTTAGTTAAGTAAAATACATCGTGTGGTTCCTTTTAAATGGGGAACAGCAACATCTTTGATGGTAAAAAGCCACGATATCTCTTGCGAAAAATCTCTTGAAGTTTGTTGTCGTTAATGGAAGGAATTTACCAACAAATTAGACTGTTCGGGAAATTCGTAATGTGAGTTAAGAAAGATCTAAATTAAAAATTTGTCGTCTTTTTCATCAATGAACTTCGCATAGCTTTTACAGGCTTCTAAAGTATTTTTTATTTCATCTTTGACTTTCGACTAAATTTTGTAAAGATCACAATAAATAATAACGAGGCCGATAGAAACAAACATTCTAGATACGATTCAAAATTTGAATGTATAACGTTTAATATTGTCCCACTGAAAAATAGAAACATTTTATTAACAAATTTTGGATACTTCTTCATAATTTTCTTTAATATCCAACCAAGAGCAGTATAGTTGTTTAAACATTTCATCATTTGATAAACGGAATTTGTAATAAAAATGTTACGAACTTTTCGAACAATCCAATAAAAGGCGTTGAAAATTGTGATATTCGCAGGAAAAAGAATTGTTCGATTCTTACCGGTTCCGTTTTATCTGCAAATCGCAAATATAATTACTTAATATCCTGCTTGTTAAACATGATGCGCATTCTGACTCGGCGCATCCTGAACGAACCAGGCGATTCGTCTCCGTCGTTAAACGGTAACGCGAAAATAACAGATTTATTTCACCGCAAAATATGTACAGGTTTCGAGCGAATTTTCGTCGGTAAGACGGCGCGCGATGGTTTCAGAATAGGCATGCGCGTGCGCGAAACAGTCGCAGCTAACGATCGAGTCCATCCGACCGCGTCGTCATCCTTCGTGATGCGGTAAATTTCCTCGTAGGATCAACCGCGATCATTCTTCGTCGGCTCTCGGCCGATTTTTCGTTCACTCGCAAACACAAAATTCTCTATCTATCTACCTAACTATCTATTTATCCATATATATATATATATATATATATATATGTGTATATATATATATATATAATATTCGCGTCGCTCACAATAAAACTAACATTGTCAAAAATCATTAAGACGCGGTGCTCGTTGGTCGATGCTCGTCGGCCGGCGATCGATCGCGATTATCGGAAGATGCAGATATCGCGGTAACGTTCTTCAGTCTCGAACCAGTCGATCTTCGATTCGTCGGTTGACGCGCTTCGACGACGGTTCGTCAATAACTCGTTCCGTGGCCATGCTAAATTTTGTTCGTTCGAGCTTTCTGATGCGTAAATCTGTCTATAAACAACGATTGTAGTCGAAGTAACGGTTCAAATTGTCTTATGCGTTTGGCCAATTACGTGCCGCGTATCGACGTTCCAAATCGTCGAACAACGAAAACACGCATTACTATTTACAAGAAAAGTTGGGCGAGCATAGAGTTCGAATTAGAAACGACGTCTCTTGTTTCGATTCGGTCGTTACGAACGAGGATAGCTCGATGCATCTTTTACAATTAGACGGATACAAAGCACGAAGATCGGTTCTTGCGAAATCTCGTCGTCGGTAATTGATCGTTCATCTCGTCACCGTTTCTGGATAGCGATGCGCACCTTGCGGCAACTTCACGCGACTCGTTTATACAAGTCGATAATAACGTTTAAGCGAATTATCCCGGATGGTAAATAGCAATCAGAACGCAACTTTCATCAAACGTACAAGCTGCTCATTATACAAAAATATCCTCAAAGATATGACATTTTTATCTACAGAATCGATTATCTAAACTCACCTATAAACAATGAACGTGGAAGTACGTGCCACGAAGCTTGGTCGCAAAGTTGCACATTCTTCATCCGAGCTTCAACGCACGCACGTTGTCGCTCGTTTCGATCCTTGCACCGCACAGCTCTTCACACCATCATCCGTGTTCAATTCCGCGAGTTCCGCTCGTCGCCAGTGTGTTTCGAAATTATAAGGTAATTCAAGAAGGATAAGCGCGTGATTGCAATACAGATAGCTGTCGTGTAATTAGGCCGAGCGCGTAGTGGAAGGGAAGGGTTAAAGTGGGGGAGCCCACGACGCGAGCGGACACCCGTCGAAGTCGCGGCGAAGCTTGGCGAGCGAAACGCACGGTTTCCAGCGGTTTTTAGTGCCGCGCTGTGTCGCGTTCCAAATCGTTCCGCACTGCCGTCTCTTCTCGAACGTTTTCCTTCGGAGAAGTCGAATTTTCGCGCTTTAGTCTATCAGCGACAGAATTGTCCTACAAAGAGTCGTTAACGTGTCACCGTGCTACCGTATCACCTTCCCCGCGAATGTAGCGCGCGCGATCCACTTACCGAACTGAAAACCGAGAAAGAGAAAAAGAACTTGAGACGAACGCGATCACGCACGACCAACGTGCGAACTTTTGTTACGAATATCCGGCCGTAAAAACGTTCGAGTCGGAAGATTCACCGCGATCGATGCGTGCGCGAATCAACGGCGATGATGTTCGCGTATTCGAATCGTGCGAGGACGATCTGAAACCGCACACGAATTGTTACCAAGCTTTCTAGCCTTTGGCGAGAAAATCGAAAGCGACGATCTTCGTTGGTTGGTTCACGGTCGATCTTGATCGTGATCAGTCAGTAATCGACGGTTTCTGGTTTCTAGTTGGTGTCCTTTTTGCGTCTGCGCTCCTTTTATCCTATCCCCGGTCTTCTTGTGCTCTTGTTGCGCTTTAAGAGTCTCTTTAAACGAATCGGCTTTCTAAAAGAGCAACGGTCGTCAATCATTGTTCATGTCCTTCAATTCAGTGTAGGCGATCCTCTTTCGATAAACGTTTCCGGTCGGTGAGATCACTTTTCTCTTGTTTGGCATCGTCGACGGTCCAGGAACATAGTAGTGCCGCCTTTTGTAAACCACCATTCTGTAAACGTAGCAAACGATTCGATTAGTCGATTGTCAATCGCGATCCCTAATTCCTATTCCATCGATTTGTATCGTTATGCGAGATATTTAAGAATCATCCACCGTTTGCTATCGACTTTGCCCAGGGAATCGCGTAATATCGTTCTGTAATATTTCAGGAAGAAACGAAGCGCAATTGGCGATATACGCGTTAAAGAGGATACACCATCTTGAAGATCGATTCTGTGAGAACTCGTGTCAAGTGCTTCGACGATGCGTTCCCGTCACGTCCGTATGAACACGTGTACGTACAGTGATGAGAAAAGTATTTGACTCGCAGAAGTATTTAAACGTTTATCGTAGAAAGTTTTTCAAAATATATTACGCATATACCTACAACATACGAAACTTTTCGAAATTTTATAACGAATCACAAGTATCGTAATCACGGTGATAGAATTTGAAAGCAGTCTAAACATTTACATAGGAGTCGCAAGATATTTGCTGTAAGCATATAGTTTGTTAAAATGTAATATAATTTAAATACATTAAAAATGATAATAATATAATAGATACATGACTGCTTAAATAATAGCTTTAACGAAGCGCATGTTTGCAAGAAATATCTTGTAACTTTTTCAAACTTGTTTCAAACTTTATCGATGATCTCGTGTCATGCAAAATCTTTTCCATAACATACGTAACATATTCCAAGAGTTTCTACGAGTGTTCGAATACTTTCGTGAGCCATCGTATGTGAGCGTATGTATGTTAATGTTAGGTCCATGGGATTCACGCGACTCTACGCGACCAACGCTTGAAACGTATCGTTGTTCTATCGATAAACGATCAAACGACTAATAAACTTTTGTTCGACGTTCTCAGATCGAACGAATTGTTTTCGTTATCCGTTTACTAATAAAATACAACGATAGATTATATAGATCGTGTAGAATCGAAGAGTCGCGACGAGAAAATGTTGTTTCGCGTTGGTTTACCGATCGCGGTTACGTCGGCGCGATATAGCGAGCGTGTGTTACGTATATCATTGCGACTTCCGGTGTTCCGTGCGTCGCCATGAAATCGGCGTAACCGTCAGACAGTCAATGTCGATTGTCTCGACAATACGATCGAGTTTTAACGTCGTCATTCCACGTTCTCGAAATGAGTCCATTTTATGTGTTTAACGATAACAAAGACAAACAGAGAAAAGAGATAAAAGAGAAATGTTATGCGAGAAAGAGTCACGTTCACTTTTATGCGTCGTTTTTCAGCACGATCAACCGGCACAGTGGCGCGAATAAATAGCTGCAGTTGGAAAAATGCGAGTTTATTTAAATGGATATGCGAAATGGATTTGGATTTGTTCAAAGGGATAAATTTTGAGGATCGGAGAGACGATAGGCTGCGTCCTCGCTGAAGCAACACCGAGCAGCTTTTCGTTGCCTGTCGTTGCTGCATGTTCCGAACGAAATTAAACAAATATCGAATCGTAAAATTAGACATTTTGAGTTCTCTTTTTCGATTTCAAAGCGAAAGTTGTTTTTAATAAATCGTCTACATCCAAATGCGTTGTAAAATAATCGACAAACTGTACACGCTGAAGGAACGTTTGTTTCTGTTGCAACGCGTTGCTGCGTGTTTCTTACTTTTAGCCGCGGTCTTCGACATTACGGAAACAGGCAACAAGCACCAAGCTTCGTCATTAGCAACAGAAACGCGAGGGAACATGAAAGAACACCGAGCAACGACTCGTAACTTTTTCATGCAACTTGAATAAGAAGATCCTCGTTGTTCAATCGCTTCAACGAGGACGCAACTTTAGAGGAACAGGTTAGGTAAATTTTCTGATTAATATATACTCTTTATTTAAAAATCAGCACACACGCAGGTAAACCTAGGTAAGAGGAAGCATGCCGATATCGTTGACCGGAAACAACCGAAGACGGTCTCCGTTTACCTTTTTCATACGAGCGACGTTTCTTTTACTCTGTCTCGTTTGTCGTTCCTACTTCGTTTCGTCGTCCTGCAACCATCACCCCCATCCTGCTTTACGGATCGATCAACGACCCGCTAGGAAACGTGGAACGAACGTATTTACTAATAAAATTTACATATTCGAACGATTCAACTACTATCACGAAATAGTTGGTCTAATTGTAAGCGTCGAGCGTTACCAGCGAACGCTATACTCTGTTACGTTAACTGTTACGTTACCCTTTAAATAAATATATTGAAAACTAAGACGACAAATCCTGACGTATTGCTAATGCAACGTGTCGATACTTAAAAGCGAACTTACACGCTATATTACCCGATACTTGGAGATCCCGTAAATCTAATAGTAGCGATTATTCCAATAAAGAATCGTCATTGCTAGCCGCGAAACGTAGAAAAATAAATACTTCTTGAGGAGTAGCCTGGTTCGGAGATGGGGGGTTCTTGATAAGGTCTCTTTGGTACACGCACGATGTAGCACGGTGGTCGGATTGACTAGACAAGATCTACTACAAGGCGCTACTATCCTCGTTCTCGATCCTTTCACCATATAATATATGCAACAGGTGTTTTTCAAAGTCAACAACATTTGTCTTACAACGTTTAGACGCGGCGCGCCTAATTCAAAAATACTTCTCAGAATACTCCGCGTACTTCGTCGGTGCTATACATACTTTACGTAAGCTTTCGTAGCTATACGTGCTTTATATAAGCTCCTCCTCCCACCCTTTCCTACAAGATTTCCTTACACCGTTGTTATTCAAATTCATGCGCGTGTTTCGCTTTTCAGCTGGATACGTTGGCGGCGACGCAAAGCTATACAACTCAATTAATACTGAAAGTTATGGCGAAATCCCTCGTTCGGCTATTCCTCTACGCGAATTAACGTACACGATAATGCGCACGATAATGGTCTGATCCGCGAGTCAACCGAGTTGAACCGAAAGATCGTTATCGTAGAAGCGCGTCCTCGACCAGCGAAGAGGCGTTACGAAAATCACAGAATATTGCACGCGACACGATGCGGAGACACAGGATGGAATAGAGAAATATGTTGTAGCTTGTCACGATACCGCGCTCGAAACGAATATCATCGATAATCTCGAGCGACGTTCGTTTAAGATAATTGCTAGAATTAGCGGCAACAGGGAAACGTTACGACTTTCGATAAACCGTTTATGACCGTAACAATAGCCAAGATACGTCTCGGCTTTTCCCTTGGACGTCGAGCTGTTAACGCAAAGGGAAAAAACGATCGATAGCAAACAGGGATAATTCTTGGATCTATGCGTTTACGATCGATTAATACTACTACATAGTAACGATAAAAGACGGCTTGATTTCGCAAAGATTCCCCTACAGATCGACAGATAGACGGATAGATGCGACAGACCGCGCACGTAAGGATATCTGAAACATAAAGCAAAGAGAAGAGACGAGTGACGTATTATTCAGCGATAGAAAGGCCATAACTAATTCCACACGTGTACCGTGATACGTGTACGAGATACGTGTCCAGGAGAGAAATACCCACGTGATACAATATTTAATTGTAATAGAATGGCTGGGTGTCGATTATTTGTTTCTTAGTTGGAAAACTAGAGAGAGAACGATGAGATGTTTATGCGAATGGAATAATTTATTACACCATTCCTAGGTATTGTGAAATTTCTGTTTCGCCGATGTAAACGTACGTAGGCACTTCTGAATCTGATTAATTTTCCACCTTTTTTTTTTATTCTTTCCAGCGGTGATAAGTACCATCGACACACGTATCCCCGTACGGAATTAAGCTAAGGCTGCAGCTAAAAGACGAGAGGGGAACGAGACTCACCTCACCCGATGAATCCCGCGGCCAACGATATTACGAGGGCGAGAATACCGGTCATCACTTGACCGGCGGTCGAAACGAC